GGTGTGGTCGTGCTGGGGAGTGGTCGTGCTGGGGTGTGGTCGTGCTGGGGGGTGGTCGTGCTGGGGGGTGGTCGTGCTGGGGGTGGTCGTGCTGGGGGGTGGTCGTGCTGGGGCGTGGTCGTGCTGGGGCGTGGTCGTGCTGGGGCGTGGTCGTGCTGGGGCGTGGTCGTGCTGGGGTGTGGTCGTGCTGTGGTGAGGTCGTGCTGGGGTGTGGTCGTGCTGGGGTGTTGGTCTTGCTGGGGTAGGGTCGTGCTGGGTCGGTCGTGCTGGGGTGTGGTCGTGCTGGGATATGGTCGTGCTGGTCGTGCTGGGGTGGGGTCGTGCTGGGTCTGGTCGTGCTGGGGTGTGGTAGTGCGGGTTGGTCGTGTCTAGGGGGGGGTCGTGCATTTCGCTCGAGACATCCTGCCAAAATTCCAGGAAATCGTACAAAAACAAACGAATTAGTCGAGACATCATCGAAATTCCTTCGCGCGGGGCGCTTTTCCGCGTCGCGGTCGGCTCTGCAAAACAAGCGTTTCGCTCGAGACATCCTCGGCAAACTCTGCGGAGCAAGCGTTTCGCTCGAGACATCCTCAACACACGAAAAAGTGGCCCGCACCCTGTGATTTATCGATCGGGATTTCAAAAACAAGCGTTTCGCTCGAGACATCCTCAAATTTTAATTCGCCGGCCTCCTTCGACCTCGTTATTTATCAGGGAAAAAATCCGCCGGCCTCCCTCAAGTTGGCACCGGGGGACAGGTTTACCTACTAAAAGAGAACCCTGGGCCGGAGCCCTTTCCGGGAAAAACAAACGAATTAGTCGAGAACATCATCGAAATTCTTCGCGCGGGGCGCTTTTCCGCGTCGCGGTCGGCTCTGCAAAACAAGCGTTTCGCTCGAGACATCCTCGGCAAACTCTGCGGAGCAAGCGTTTCGCTCGAGACATCCTCAACGCACGAAAAAGTGGCCCGCACCCTGTGATTTATCGATCGGGATTTCAAAAACAAGCGTTTCGCTCGAGACATCCTCAAATTTTAATCCGCCGGCCTCCTTCGACCTCGATATTTATCAGGGAAAAAATCCGCCGGCCTCCTTCAAGTTGGCACCGGGGGACATGTTTACATAGTAAAAGAGAACCCTGGGCCCCCGCCCTTTCCGGGAAAAGAAGCGGAGGGAGCCATGGTGTATCGCTAGGTCGGGAACGTCCTCCCACAGGCGGATGTCGGACGACAAATGAAGAGCAGTCAAACGTAATCGAAAAGAGTCAAACCTACCAGAAGACATGTCCCCAGACTATTTTTTGACTACTCTTGAACTAACTTCTGTAGAAGGACACGCCCGACTGAAATGCATCGTGGCCCCGACCACGACACCCGAGCCCCCCCCCCGTACGGCAAACTCGTGCCGTGCCGACCTGCGCATTGGCTTCTGCTGGCGCCGCGTGGACCGCTCCACCTGGAACGACCGGCGGCTTTCTCGATCGCCAGATCTTCCCTTCCTGGTCCAGAAGGAGGAGGAGGAGGAGGAGGAGGAGGAGGAGGAGGAGGAGGAGGAGGAGGAGGAGGGGGAGGAGGTGACCCAACTCGAAGAAGAACAAACGCCATGAACGTAAACTTTTGGCGCTGCGCGCAGATCCAAAACATGATGGACCCACGAACCCGGAAAGGGATAAAGACATGTGCAGCATGGTCACGTTTTCACGATACCCAACTGGGCGACATCTCACGAAACATCCCACGAGACACCCCGCGAAACATCCCACGAGACACCTCACGAAACATTCCACGAGACACCTCACGAAACATTCCACGAGACACCCCGTGAAACATTCCACGAGACACCCCACGAACAGGCAACCACTCAACCAGACACGCCACGAAACATTCCACGGGGGTGCGACTGGGTGTGGTCGTGCTGGGGTGTGGTCGTGCTGGGGTGTGGTCGTGCTGGGGAGTGGTCGTGCTGGGGTGTGGTCGTGCTGGGGGTGGTCGTGCTGGGGTGTGGTCGTGCTGGGGGGTGGTCGTGCTGGGGCGTGGTCGTGCTGGGGGGTGGTCGTGCTGGGGGGTGGTCGTGCTGGGGCGTGGTCGTGCTGGGGCGTGGTCGTGCTGGGGCGCGGTCGTGCTGGGGTGTGGTCGTGCTGTGGTGAGGTCGTGCTGGGGTGTGGTCGTGCTGGGGTGTGGTCTTGCTGGGGTAGGGTCGTGCTGGGGTCGGGTCGTGCTGGGGTGTGGTCGTGCTGGGGTATGGTCGTGCTGGGGTGGGGTCGTGCTGGGGTGGGGTCGTGCTGGGGTCTGGTCGTGCTGGGGTGTGGTCGTGCTGGGGTATGGTCGTGCTAGGGTGGGGTCGTGCATTTCGCTCGAGACATCCTGCCAAAATTCCAGGAAATCGTACAAAAACAAAGGAATTAGTCGAGACATCATCGAAATTCCTTCGCGCGGGGCGCTTTTCCGCGTCGCGGTCGGCTCTGCAAAACAAGCGTTTCGCTCGAGACATCCTCGGCAAACTCTGCGGAGCAAGCGTTTCGCTCGAGACATCCTCAACACACGAAAAAGTGGCCCGCACCCTGTGATTTATCGATCGGGATTTCAAAAACAAGCGTTTCGCTCGAGACATCCTCAAATTTTAATCTGCCGGCCTCCTTCGACCTCGATATTTATCAGGGAAAAAATCCGCCGGCCTCCTTCAAGTTGGCACCGGGGATCAGGTTTACCAACTAAAAGAGAACCCTGGGCCCCCGCCCTTTCCGGGAAAAACCGCGCGGACCGCCAAAAGCGTGTAATTGTGGTGTTTTTTTCTGTTTCGATGGTCGATTCTGGGCCACCGGTGGCGCTCGACTCGAGCGCCCGCAACGGGGTCGCTGCCGCGTGGGCACGACGCGAACCTACCGCAGTCCTCCCCCCCTGTCGGGCGCCCCCCTGCAGGAAGGCAGGAGTGAGAGGCGGGGATACATCCATAACCAACTCAGCGCCTGGCAGACCAGCGTCCTGGGACCCCAGCGGGCGGCGAGTATGGAGATAGTTTGGCCCGGGGGGGGCCGAGCACATCCATATCCATCGCCTCCCGAGGCCCTCGAAGATCGATCCGCCAGGCGGTGGCTGTGGGGAACCAAAAGGTACCGATACCGCTGCTCCCCGGACCTCTCCCGCGGTGCGCTGTGACCAGGATTTCGAGGCGAATCCAGCGGTGGAGGCCCCCAAAAAGGCACAACAGGAGAAGGAGGAGGAGGAGAAGGAGAAGGAGGAGGAGGAGGAGGAGGAGGAGGAGGAGGAGGAGGAGGAGCGTAGCGGTGTTGGTCGGTTCTCCTCCTCCGAGCTGGCGGCGCTCGACCCCGAACGCCCGCGCTCGGGTCGCCGCCGAGCCGACGCGCCGCGAGCCCACCGCCAGGGAAGGGCAGAGGTACGGGTGCTCTTCTTCCTCCGAGTGAGGCTGCGGATGGATCCCCGCCTCGGAAGCGGCGAGCACGGCATCCCCCAGGGCAGAGCGCGGGGCGTCCGCGGCCGGGGGCGGCACGTGCCGCGCGGCGAGGGTGAAAAAGTTGGGCATGGGTCGAGTAGGTGATCGACGACAGAGGATGTGCCCCCATAGATTCTTGCGCAGAATCTTCCACCATAGATGCAGAATGTTCGTAGATCTACGCGCGTAAGACGCATTCTCTCGCAGGCTCGACGAGTGATCCATTCTGGGGTGAATCGATTCTGCATTCGATTTCCTACTCGAAATGGGCGGCTGCCAGCTGGGGGCAGTCCGAAGAGGCGGCAGGCAGAGCGGCGCGCCGGGAAAAGGGCGAGAGGGTGCTTGGGCCGGCAGCGCAGGAGCTGTCGGGGGGGGGGGCCAGGTGGCGGAGGATGGCAGGAGGAGGAGGAGGAGGAGGAGGAGGAGGAGGAGGAGGAGGAGGAGAGGAGGAGGAGGAGGGGAGGAGGAGGAGGAGGAGGAGGAGGAGGAGGAGAGGCCACGTTATGAGACCGAGGATGGCGATGACGAAGAGGGAGGAGGAGGCGTAGGAGGAGCAGGACCAGTGTAAACCCAAGACTGACCAACGTGCTGCAATCAACTCTCCCTACATGTTCCCTCTTCATCGGCCCCTGCAAATATTCATTTTCACTGAAGGAAGTGCCCCGTTGGAAGACAACCGCCTGAAGATCCTGAAGCGTGCCAGATCACCATTCCTGGGACTTCAGCGCCGCGAATCACCACGACTGTTGCGTCTTGACGAACCTGAACCGTGCCAGAAGGAATGGAGGAGGAGGAGGAGGAGGAGGAGGAGGAGGAGGCGTGGTGGAGGGCAGCGCAGGAGCCGGGGAGCTACGTGGTGGAGGATGGCAAGGGCGGGAAGGAAGGATGAAGAAAGGGAAGGTCAAGACGAGCGCGAGAGCAACAACGACTGGATACCAGTGGCAGTCATGGTACGTGACAATCAGGGTGCTGGGGCTGAGCGGCCGTGCGCCGTCAATGGGCGTGAGGCCGAAGTCTGGCTCAGCGGTGCGGGCTGTCGTCATTCCTGTTGTTCGTCGTCGTCTTCGCCCACGACCCGCCTGCGACACACCCCTACGGCGCACCCGCATTGTTTTGACAAAACAATGCGTCTGCGGCGGGCTCGTTGTGTAATGTGTTCAGGCGTCGGCGCCTGCGGCGGGCGTTTTCACAGTTGCTCTCGAGCCTCGGAAACTTCTGACAACCCCCCTCCCCCTCACTCTTGTCCGCAACTGCGGGGGCTATGGTACGTTTACTCTTTTGCTGTACAGTCAACAAGTATAGTAAGGATGTGCGATAAGGATGCAAGGGCCTTGGAAGGCCACGTCGAAGCTTTTCGAGCAGGGCGCGGTCAACGAAAGTGGCCAGGGATGGGCCGAGGAGGCAATGATGCAAGGGTCTCTTGGGAAGGTTGCCCATCCTTACTATGCGGGTTGACTGTAATATGAGCTCAGGAAACGTAGTAGCCGTAGAAATATTATTCGTAATCCTAGTCGTAGTTTTAGTCACTGAAGTAGCGTCATAAGTAGTAGCGGCAACAAACAATCAAGTACACAATCTCGTGTTACACGAGCACTGGGCAGAACATGACGGAGCAGGGCAGGAGAAGGACGAGAAGGAGGAGCAGCAGCAGGGCATGAGGAAGAGAAGGAGTTAGAGGACAGATAAGGAGGAGGGGCGAGGGGAACGGGCAGTAACATGATCAACAGCAGCAGGAGAAGCAGTACGAGCGGGACAGGGAGGGGAGGAGGGGGATGCCGAGGACGGGGAGATGACCGGAAGGAGAAGGGGAGAGGCAGCGGCAGAAGGGAAGGGAGAGCGTGGGCGGACGAGCGAGGGCCGGAGGGGGAAAACGTGGAGACGAGGGCACTGCTGAGCACGGAGGGGGGCGATGACGAGGAACAGGGTGAGGAGCCGAAGGCGGGGGAGGAGAACGACAACGACGACGACGGCGACGACGGCGACGGCGGCGGCGACGGCGACGGCGGCGGCGACGACGATGGCGGCGACGACGACGACGACGAAGAGGGGGCGCACGACGACGGCGGCGATGACGGCGACGATGACGGCCACGACGACGGCAACGGCGACGGCGACGATGACGACCACGACGACGGCGACGGCGACGACGACCACGACGACGGCGACAACGACGGTGACGACGACGGCGGCGACGACGCCCACGATTAGCACCAGCACCAGCGGGCAGGGAGCGGCAGCCGCGGGCAGGGGAGGCCGGGGCGGGGGCGGGGAGCGGGAACGACGACCCTGGAGAGAGAGGCCCAAAGCGGCAAGGCCTGGGGGGCCAGCGAGGGCAGCGCCAGGGCCGGAACGGGGTGCCAACAGGACCGAGGATGGCGGGGACGAGAAGGCGGAGGAGGTGGGGGAGAAGGAGGCGGAGGCGGAGGAGGGAGGAGGGAAGAGGAGGAGGGGGGAGGGAAGAGGAGGAAGGGGGGGAGGGGGAGGAGAAGGAGGAGGAGGAGGAGCAGTGTGAACCCAAGGCTCATCGACGGCTCTGCACAGAACCCTGCCTCCAGGTTCCCCCTGTCGTAGGTTCCTACAAGGATCCCTTTTCACTGGAAGAAATGTCCCGTTAGAAGACAACCATCTGAAAATCCTGAACCGTGCCCGAACACCATGCCCAGGACTTCAACGCCGCGAATCAGCCTTACTATTGCGTCCGGGCGATCATGAATCGTGCCAGAACGCAATTCCTTGGATTCTAACACGCAACACCACGAATCAATGTAAGTGCTTCGCCCTGCCAATCCTACATCGTGCCAGAGCATTTTTTTTTTGGACGTCAACCAAAATGATCCTGGAACCTGCTGTGAACTCTTGAAACGAATATGCGCGGCGCTACGGCGAGTGCCCATGATAAAAAGATGCCGCCCTCCATCCGTGAAGCTCTTGCAAACTTTGCAGACAAATGTGCGCGGCACTGTAAAGCGAAATAAACATTTTGAAAATCGCCCACCCTGCACTCGTGACGCTGTTGCAATTTGTCATAACGATTGTGCGCGGCGTTTAAACGAGAGGTGCATTGTGGAGACGACCCGCCTTCCATCAGTAAATTTGCAGCAAATTTTAAAGACGAATGCGCGCGGCACTACACCGAGAGCCACATTTCGAAAACCGCCCACCCTACATCCGTGACGCTCTTGCCCGCCCACCCTACATCCGTGACGCTCTTGCGTTGTTTACAACGAATGCGTGCGGCGCTGAAGCGAGAGGCGCATTTTGGAAACGACCCGCCCTCTATCAGTGAAACTGCTGCAAATTTTTAGGACGAATGCGCGCGGCACTACACCGAGAGCCACATTTCGAAAACCGCCCACCTTACATCCGTGAAGCTCTTGCACTTTTGCAATGAATGTGCGCGGCGCGAGAAGAACATTTTGGAAACGACCCGCCCTCCATCAGTGAAGCTGTTGAGGATTGTCAGCTCGAGGCACAATTTCCGCTTCGCGGTTGTACATGGTGAGGAAGCCCCGAGCGAAACGCACGGCCCGCCCTACCGGCACGCCTCAGGGTGTAACGGGGGAGAACGATCTATAAGGAAAGCGGATAAAGGAGGTGGAGGGTGAGGAGGCGGCGGAAGGAGGAGGACGGCGAGGAGGAGGAGGGGGAGGAAGGGGCACGAGTGGCAGCGACCGGTCCTCTCCGAGGGGGGGAGAAAGGGAGGGAGGGACTGAGCGAGGGGAGGCAGGGAGGGAGGGAGGGAGGGAGGGAGGGGAGGGAAGGAGGGAGGGAGGAGGAGGAGGAGGAGGAGGAGGAGGAGGAGGAGAAGGAGGAGGAGAAGGAGGAGCGAACGTCGCTGAAAAGGGCGACGTCCAGGATCACACCCAAGAGCGGGTGACGCGAAGGTAGGCTGGATAGTGTGGCGGTGAGACGCTATCTTTATGTTTGACTGCGTGATGGATGTGGCGGTAAAAGGCGAACCTTCGCACTGCGGGGCAGTGCGAGTTATCGCCCTTCTCCCCAAAGTGATCGCCAGCCTCCAGACGCATGAGCGAGTCGAAGTGAGCAACCGCCCTCGGATGGCATGCGACCCACCAAGCGCATGGGCAGAGCATCGAATGAACAATCTTTTCGTCGGCTGGTCTGGACGCCCGTGCGCGTCGCGCGTCGCGCGACGTTGTGGGGAAAACATGAAGAAAATGGCGGGCAGAGTTCGCGCGAGCGACGATCCGCTGCGCGGGCAGCAGCAACTCTGGCGACTCGGCGCGATGCGGATCGACGATGGCGGCGGCCTTTGCGATCGCGGGCTCGAGAATGCGCCGGAGGGCGTGAGGCAGCAGGGCCTCGTTGATGTCGCGCATGTTCCAGACAATGCCGATCGGCAGCGGACAGAAACGCGGGCCCCGCAGCTTGCGGGCGCCCACCCAGGAAGCACGAACATGGCGGCGCGCGATTTGCTTGCCAGGGATGGAGATCCGATCGAACTGAACGCGGCGCTGGGCGCACAACAGCGACTGCTCAAGATATCTGACCGCGCGAAGGCTGTCGGCACAGGCCGGCTCGCAACGCGCATGGAATCCCATCCCAAGCGCGCCAGCACCAGCGGCGCAGGGCGAAATTGCGCCACGCGCGACAGGCACAACGCAGCATCAAAATTGCGCGCGCGGGGGCAAGTAGCTGTCGAGGCGACAGACAGGCCAATTCCAGGATCACGGCGCGCGCGCTCGGCGACTGGGGGCGACCATTGGAGGGGGTCGCCTTGAGCCAGGCCCCAAGTGCACGCCTGGGTACTTGCGGCGTCCAGCCATGGATGGGTCTCCCAGCCGGGCGCAGCGGCGCTCGGCGACGGCGCGGTGCCCGGCGCCGTCTGCCGCGCGGGGCGCGGGGGGCCGCGTCGCTGCGCCAGGCCCCGCGGGCCAAAGCTCGATGCTTCAGCGCCTCCAGCTCCTTCGCGTCGCTCTCGCGTGCCCGCTCGGGGAATTGCATCGCGCGCCCCCTCGTCGGCGGAGCAGCCAGCATAGCTTGCGCTCTCATGATTTGCCGGGCCTCTGTCAAGGTCATGGCGTTGAAGGCGACCAGCTGCGTCGGGTTGGTCAGATGCGCCTGGTAATTGTTCGCGTTGAAGATGGAGGGGGTGGGCCGTTCTGGCGCGGGAGGTTCGCGGCCGAGCTGGATCTGCGGTGCTGCGATGCCATGGTCGCCGAGGCACTTCTGCGACGTCGCTGTCGACTGGCGCGCGCCTGCGACAGTTCACCACCGCGTGGGCTGGCAAGAGTGCGAAGACGCGATCGACGGTGCTGACTGGCCCTGCAGCCCTGTCAGAGCGCGCGCGCGCGTGGCGCTCTGAATCTCGAGTGGCGTCGAAGGAGGGGGCCCGCGCCGCGCGGCCGTGGGAGTCGCGCGCTAGCGACGGGATAATCATCGCGTCAGTACGCAGGCATCGTAAATCCGTATAGTTAAGATTCGCGATGCGGATGCAAGGGCCTTGGAAGCCCGTTTCAAATCATGTAGAGCGGGGCGCGGCCATCGAAACTGGCCAAGGATGGGTCGAGGAGCATCATGCGGGTTGACTGCAATAATGTTTATCCATCGCGGGAATGTTGAAGCCACTGGGCACGGTCAGCAGGTCGCACCAGGAAAATTCTTGGCCTTCACCAGGGCCCCCTGCCCCTCGTGGGCGGCGCTGGCGCGGCCGTTGCTGACAAAATCCTGGTTCTGGATGCTTGTGAACGGCGCGCGGCGCGCAGGGTGTCCTTCGCGAGCAGGGGGTGACATGTCACGCAGGTCGCGCGCGCGGCCGTCGGGGGATGAGATAAGTGAGAGATATCTCCCCTCCACCTGCGTACAAGGTGAAAACGACGGTCGCCAGCTCGGGTGGAGTTTTTGCCAGTCTGGCTTAGATTATGCACTCAACGACGGGATGGCAATTGAAACGCTGGCGCCAAGCGAGTCCGGAAGCTCGGCGGCACGGGCCCGATACGAATGCGGCGCGCCGTCCAAGCGCTCCTGAAGTCCACGGGCGGCGCCGTGACATGCCTATATCAGGGTGACGTGACTACTCTTGACGTGCGGCCAAACCTGCACCAGCTTGCGGTGGCGGGTTGATCTGTTCTTGACGACAAGCCCTCTGGCGCTCCATGACATGACCCGCGCTCCGTGTCCACGAGGTGCGTCTGTCTTCGACGTGCATCTGCAGACGGGCTCGTCAAAAACTTCACTGCTCTGCTGCCTGCGGGGCAGCGTCGGCTTCGAAGGCGGCGATGACTTCGGCCTTGGGCGCAACGTGTCTAGCAACGGTGTCGTGTTTCCACTACAGGTCGGTCTTGTGCTCGGGGTTGTGCCAACAACGATCTGGACCACTGGTTCACGTTCGCAGCTGAACTCGAAATTGGAACTGTTTGGCCCCAGTCGCCACCCGAGGATCCTTGCAACACGTTTGGTGTGGCACTGCTCACGGCCACGTTAGAAGGACTGGTCCAGCCCAGCAGCGCGGAAGAAGCGCCAACCCTGATTTGTATGACAAATATTTGCTAACTTCGTGGTTCAGCGGACCCCCATGATGCCATCCATGAGCTCCAGGTCATCGGCGGCTAGTGGGTGGGCCGTGCATCGAGCTCTCGTCAGCAGGCATGGGCGCCTCCGCCAACCAGTCCCGTAGGGCGTCGCTGACCTCACGGCCGCAGTCGCGCCAGCCTTGGTGTTGATTGAAGCTGTTGGAACAAGGCTCGCGGTCTCCTTCCGCGATCCTGGCGGCGTCCAAGGCTGGGGTGCTGCTGCGCGGCCACCACCGGCGCCTCCTGCATGCGAGCCACGGTGCCGCTGAGTTCCTTCTGCCTTGCTTCTTGATCTTCCAACATCTTCCACACTTGTTGCAAGTCTCCGTTGGTCTGGTTGAAGCGGGCGTGGCTTTCGGCCTGATGGGCAACGACCAGCCTGCCCATGCTGGCGACACATGCTGCAGAAGTGTCCTTGTTGGCCGCAGAAACATTGGCAACGTGTTCAACGAGGGTGGCGTCCAGGTCTGGCTTAATTTGCTGAGTGGGTTGCCCTTGCCCTTGAGCGCCTGCTGCTGGGCTGTCAGGGGCGTTTGGACTTCCCGCGTTTCTCGAGCGTGCCAAGATCTCGACTTGGCGTCCGCAGGGAAACGAGAGCGGACCGTGACAGCGTCGCTGCGAGGAGCCGTATCACTCGCGCTGTGCTTCTTGGTCGTGGCCTTTGCTGCAACAGCCGCCCACGGATCTTCTGCGTTGACACGAACGTGGGGCGAGCCCACATATGAGATGCACGTGGATGTGTAAGAGCACGGGGAGCTGCCGCCCATCGGCGGTATCCGTGTTTTGCCAGCCGGCGAGGCCGCGGTGGAGACAAGCATCACCAGCAAAAGCGGCTACGGAGGCGGAGGAGGAGGAGGAGGAACACACACACAGCCTCGAAGGACGACCGACGACGGCGAGGCGACAGGCTCCATCCATGTCCTCATCCTGCTGCAGCTAGGGCCTCGGAGAAACGAGGCGGGGCGCGCCTGCGCAGCTGACGAAGCCGTGCAACAGCGAAGCTGCGGAAGCGCTGCCGATCGACGTGAGGAGCGGGAGGAGGCGGAGGAAAATGGAGGGGGGCAGGCACACGGAGGACACAGGCACCACGAGGGCGCAAGCTATACTGCTATCGCTACTCCCCAGACCTCTCCTCGGGTGACTTTCTGACCAGGAATTCGAAGCCAATCCGTCGGTGGACACGAGGGACACGTAGCAGTGTCGGTATCCCCCCCCCCGAGCCGGGGGGGCAGAAACACGAGGGCGAAAGCGCGGAGCGGAAGCAAATAGGGGGGGGCGGAGGACGAGGAGCAGGACCGCCCGAGCAGAAGGCGCAGCACGAGGAGGCCCCGGTGCTCAGGGCCTCCCACGGGGCTGCGCCGCCAGCGCGAGGGGGGCACATCGGCACCAGCTCGCGCCACGTTCGTCCCTCGCCTCCTCCCCATCCCTCAGGGGGACGAGCGAGGGGGGGGGGGGAAGGGAGCGCCAGGGGAGAGGCGGGGCAAGGGAGGAGGAGGAGGAGGAGGAGGGAGGAGGAGGAGGAGGAGGAGGAGAGGAGGAGGAGGAGGAGGAGGAGGATGGCCGCCTCCTTCCCAAACGCCCCCCCCCCACTCCCTGATCCATCCTCCCTCTCCCCCCTCTCCCGCCCTCCTGGCCGGCAGGGCCCCGAATCCGTGGTCCTCCTCCTCCTGTCCTCATCCTTGCCTTTCTGGACCCGCCTCCCGTTCCCTTCGCGTTCTTGACTTCCGTAGCCGTGGAGACAGAGCTCGTAACGTCAGCTCCTCCTCCTCCTCCTCCTCCTCCTCGTCCTCTCCGCTCCTCCGCCTCCTCCTCCTCCTCCTCCTCCTCCTCCTCATCCCCCCCCTCGTCCTTCTCACATTCCTCCTCCTCCTTTTCACAGTCCTCCTCCTTCACAACTGCTCAATATGACTGCTCTCCTCTCTCCCCCGGAAGACGTGCTGAGAGTCGCGCGCGCCCCCTTCCGCGCACACGCAGGATGGGTCCGAGTTGCTTTTATGCTTTTATTTATTTATGTATTTATTTATTTATTTATTATTAGTAGTATTAATAGTAATAATATTAATACTAGTATTAGTATTACTACTACTACTACTACTACAACTACTACTACTACTACTACTACTACTACTACTACTACTATTACTACTACTACTACTACTACTACTACTATTACGAGTATTAGTATTATTATTTAGCATTCGTATTATGATTATTATTATTATTATTGATGCTTTTAGTATTGGTATTATTAGTATTGTTAACATTATTAGTATTATTATTACTATTATCATTTATTATTATTATTAATAATAATATTAGCACTCGTAATATTATTACTATTATTACTATTATTATTATTATCATCATTATTATTATTAGTATAACTATTTTAACTATTATTATTATTATCGATATTATTATTACTAGTATTATGATTGTTATTAGTACTATTATTCTTATTATTATTCTTATTATTATTATTGTTATTATTACTCGTACTATTAATATATATATGTGTTTTCCTATCCTTGCCCCCTTTCTTGGCGGGCCCCAAGAATATACACCATGACCACTACCACGTCGATTCCTCTTCCCTCCTCCGCCCTCATCTTCCTCTCCTCTCTCCTGGGAGGGGGAGGAGATGACGGAGATGGTCGTGGTGGGGTATACCCTTGGGCCCCGTGCTTTTTCCCTCCCGCGGCCGCTCGCCCGTGCCCCTCTTCCCATCTCTTGCTGCCGTGCAGTTAGCGCCTGCCGTCTCCCGGCCCGCTCGAGCGCGCGAGCGGACGGCCTCTGCGGCGCTGCGGCGCGAGACGTGCTTCCCAATCCGAGCGTTCTCGGTCCTTCAATCTCTTGGTTTGGGGAGGGGAGGAGAAAGAGGAGATCGGACACCCCAGCGACAGCAGACTCCGCAAGCGAGCGCATCAGAAGTAGTGTGGGACAGGCGGACTGGCATGGGCGGAGATGCGTGCAGTCATACGATAATAAGAAGACAAGGCTTACAACCTCGGGGGCGCGTGACTTACTTGCTAGAGAAAAGGGTCCTTCCAAAGTTGTGTTCCCGCTGACACGCGGGCCTCAATTTAGACTCGCGGCTTTGCTCCCGTTGTTCAAGATGGCGCTCTCGCCCCAGCGGGGGCCACTTTTCTGGATCCGAGTCCTTCATCATCGCTAACGCCCCCCTCCTTTCCCATCCTCCGCCTACCTTTGGTCCTCCTGCTCCTCCCGATCCTTCCACTCCAGTTCCTGCTGCTGTTCGTCCTCGTCCTCCCTCTTATCCTCCCTTCTCTCCTGCTCATTCTCCTGCTAATCCGCCACCTTCTCCTCCCCCTCCTCCGATGAGCGCAGGTCCCCTTTTACGGTTGCACATAACACGATAAGGGTCTTGTTAGGAGTTGCAGGCCCGCTGCGACACGCGTCCACGGATAGAGGAACAGTCCACGCAGTGGGGCAGGATGGGTGGGAGGGGTCGGATGATGATGAGGAGGAGGAGGAGGAAGAGGAGGAGGAGGAGGAGGAGGAGGAGGAGGAGGAGGGAGGAGGAGGAGGAGGAGGAGGAGGAGGAGGAGGAGGAGGAGGAGGGGAGGAGGGAGGAGGAGGAGGAGGAGGAGGAGGAGGAGGAGGAGGAGGAGGAGGAGGAGGAGGAGGAGGAGGAGGAGGAAGGGGAGGAGGGAGGAGGAGGGAGGAGGAGGAGGAGGAGGAGGAGGAAGGGGAGGAGGGGGAGGGGGAGAATTTCGCTGCCCTGACTTCCTCACTCGGGCCCCCCGGCCTTCGAGGAGGGTCGGCCCCCCTGCCGGAAGAGGGCGGCCCGAGCCCGGCACGGAGCAGCCCGCAGCTGCGCGCGAGGAGCATCCCTGCCAAAGACAGCTGCCCAGAGATCCAACGCATTGAAAAAATTGGGCGTCTCGAAAAAATCGAGACAGACATTTTTCTTATTTCTCGGCCTCGAGGGGCCCTCGCTGGGCCCAGGGGCCGTCAAAAAGCGACTCAGGATGAGGAGCCGGTCCCGGGGAATGGGTCGAGACTTCTGGGGACCCCGTATTGAAAAAATCACGGCATCGGATCTCTGGGTGGACGGCGTGCTGGCCCCCTTCTGGCCGAGGCCGCCGACGACGCTCCAAGGGCAACTTTGGGACACAGCCCCCCCCTCCTCGGGCACGGGGGGTGCACGCCACGTCTGTCCCCGGGGAGGTCGTCGGCGCCCCAGCTGGACTGGGTCGGCGTCCGAGCTGAAGGATAATGCGCGAAAGAGCGCGGCGAGCATGTCGCTGGCAGGGGCCGCATCAGGCCTGTGTCGGCAGCCTTTAGGCGTTAAAGCTCTGGCCGCATCCGCACTCAGACTTCTTGTTGGGATTGTTGAAGACAAACTCGGTGCCAACCTCGTTGCTCACAAAGTCCATCTCCGTGCCTATCAAGAACATGACCGCCTCGTGACTTTTCATTCGGCCTCGAGTACGACCCAGCGCGACGCAATTCTCTCTCTCTCTCTCTGTTTCTTGCTTTATTTCTTTCTTGTTTTGTTCGTTTCTCTCTCTCTCTCTCTTGAGGAGAAGTTCCGAGCAAAAGATCCACGCAAACTGCATGCAAGCTCAATGTGCCACTACACGCGCTAGGAAAGAACGCGTTCACGACACAGCGGATGCATGTCATCTGCCTCAGCGGGAGTGGGGTCATATCCTGGGCCCGCTTCGCTGCTCCCTCGTCACTCGTCGTTCCACCCTCCGCCTCCTTCACTCCCTCCTCGCTCCCTCCTTTCACTCGTTCGCCCATCGCCCTTCCTCCCTCCGCCGATTCTTTCTCCCTCCTCTCCCTTCTCCTTCGTTTGTCCTCCTCCTTCGCACCCCCTCCCGCCACACATAGTTCGCTATTCGCTCGTCGTTCTTCTTCTTCTTCTCCTCCTCCTCCCTCTCCTCCTCCTCACCATCATCATTCCTTCATCCTCCCTCCATACTGACTCGTCTCTGCTCATTATTCCCCACTCGTAGCCCCCTCCTCGTTTTTGGTTTCACCCGCCTTCCTCCTTATCCTCTATTATTTCTAGTCCTCCCTCTACAGATCACCACATCACAACCACTACAAGCATAACTTAAGTATAACCACCACCACTACTATCATCATCATCCTTCTCCTCCTCATCATCAGCATCATCATCAGCATCAGCATCAGCATCAGCATCACCACCGACACCACCATCGTCATCATCACCACCACCATTATCACCAAAACCACCATCACATCACCATAATCATCATCATCATCGTCATCATCAGTATCATCATCATCATCATCATCGTCGTCATCATTATCATAATCATCAACATCAGTATCAACAACATCATCCCATTGAAACCACCACAATCGTCATCATCATCAACACAATCATCATCACCACCATCATCATCATCAGCAACATCATCATCATCAACATCACCGTCAGGTCCATCAAGGCCATCATCACCATAAGCATCATCACCACCATCATCGTGATCGGCATCATCCCCATCATCACCATCATCATCACCATCACCACCACCACCACCGCCATCATCATCATCACCATCATCATCAGCATCATCATCACCATCATCATCATCAGCATCATCATCATCAACATCATCATCATCAGCGTCACCATCATCATCATCATCATCATCATCATCATCATCATCATCATCATCAGCATCATCATCATCATCATCGTCACTACCGCCACCACCATCATCATCAGTATCACCATCATCACATCATCAGCATCATCATCGGCATCATCAGCATCATCATTAGCAGCATCATCATCAGCATCATCATTATCATCCTCATTATCATCCTCATCCTCATCCTCATCCATATTATCATCCTCGTCCTATCCTCGTCTTCATCCTCAACCTCCTCCTGCTTCTCCACGCCCTCCTCCCTCCTCCCCATCCTCTTCGTCCTTCTCTGCCTCCTGCTCCTCTGCTTGTCCCTCCTCGTCCTACTCCTCCTTCCTGCCTCGTCCTCCTGTTCCGCCTCCTCCTCCTCCTCCTGTTCCTACTCCCCCTCCTCCTTCACCTCCTCCTCCTCCTCCTCCTCCTCCTCTTCCCCCTCCTCTTCCTCCTCCTGCTCCTCCTCCTCCTCCTTCTCCACCTCCTCCTCGACATCAACTTCATCTTCAATATCCCTATCATCCTCATCACGGCTCTCCCAAGCCTGGGGACACGAGGCATTGCACGTGACGCCCCCCTGTGCCCCTCGAGCAGTCGCCACCTATAATGCTGGGGTGGCACGGCGGCGGGACCAGCCGCAGGCGGCTGGATCCTCTCGAGATTGGGAGTTCGATAACGTCAGACAGACATTGGGAGGCGAGGGACGCTCCAGTCAGGGGCTCATCCTTGAACAAGTTGCAGCATCAAAGCCCAAGCTGACGGTGCAAGTGAGTGCAACGATGAGGGCCAAGTGCCAACAACAGACCGTCTTCTCGCTCACCCCCGCCCGCCCGCCCCACACACAGAGAGCCTTCACCGTGCCCCCTGGCACGTCAGGGCGCGGCAGCATGCCACGGGCTGTCTGGTAGGACCCCTGCATGATTCGACGGCCCCCGGCGGAGGAGGAGGAGGAGGAGGAGGAGGAGGAGGAGAAGGAGGAGGAGGAGGAGGAGGAGGAGGAGGAGGAGGAAGAGGAGAGGAGGAGGAGGAGGAGGAGGAAGGAGGAGGCGGAACAGGACTCTCGCCGCGTCCCGGCCGGGCGCGTCGCCCCCCCCCCCCCCCCCAACCCGAGGGCGCGGCCCTCCGCACGCAGAGATGGACCCGGGCCAAGGGATGGGCCCGCGCTCCCGAGCTGCCAAGACGGCCCAGGTCAGGCAGCCAGGGGCCGACGAGGTGGCCCGAGATGCCTCCAGGACGGCCCACGATGGGCCCAATGGTGGGCCCATTCTCCACCACCGCCACCATAAGTTGCAGGGGGGAAGGAGGAGGAGGACAATAAGGAGGAAGGCGAAGAGGAGGAGGAGGAGGAGGAGGAGGAGCAGCGGTGCGCTAAAAAGGGGGGAGTCTCCTTGGCAGCGGCGGCAGCGCCCGCCCGCGGCCGAGCTCCTCACATGCCGTCGTTGACGGCCCCGTCGACGATGGAGTCGAGGGCGATGTCGAAGGTGTTGATGTCGCGGCCGTCGATGACGGCGGAGTCGATGTCAGTGTTGTCTTGGCCGTCGGGGACGGCAGTGTGGGGTGCTGCCAGCGCGGATGCATCCAGTCCGCGGGATGCAGCATGAGGCTCTTCTTGAGGGTGATCTTGGAGGTCAGCACGTGCAGGTGTTCGCCCGAGCCCCGGCCGATTGCCACCCATGTCGAGACGATCCAACGCCGCACGGCGAGCAGACAGGTGTGCGGCGTAGTCATCACACCTTCGTTCAGGTCGGTCCCTCATCTCCAAGTATAAGTAGTAGGAGAGAACGAGCCTCCTCGTCGTAGCCCATAACGATTTTTCGTGAGAATCGTCACGTTCGTATTCTCCCTCTTCACCCAGTCCAATCCTCGCCAGAACTGTATCATGAGAAAAGGCACGAGGAAGGCAAACATGATGTTGAAGGCGAGGACAAACAAGATAGTGTTGAATGGCGTCGTCGGCATCACATCCGAAGGCACATCTAGCTCGCTCAGGGTGAACATGCATCCTCGCGGAAGTGTGCCACCCACCTGCCAAGGTTCGAACCACAATCCACCGCCACGAAGGAGACACCTTAGCTAGGAAGGATTTCAGGTGGAGCCACCTCATCCGCAAAGTCCGCAAAGATATCGTCGTGCCATACCACTTCTGCAGGCGCTTGAAGATGGTCTGATGAAATCTATCAGGAAACATCCGCACCGTGATTTGTTGAAGGAAGCATCGTTGAGGTCGCGGACGGTGTCCAGCTGCACGTGCGTTCTCCGCCGTCTTGCGGGCTATCTCAGCGGCGGCCTCAAGGGATGCGCTCGATCGTGTCGGAAGCAGCGGGGACAGGCCCGAGTTCAGGGCGGCGTAGCGCTGCACTATAGCCATGGGCTCTTTCCAGAAAGGGGGTGACCATTCTCCCCTCGCAAATGCAGGTAACGGGCAATATTGGACCGCCGTGGCATCGAGCAAGTCAAGGAAGTGCGTCCAGCCTGCGATCGTGTAGTTGGCCATTCGCCACATCGTAGCAACATTGTACAGCTTGAGGGATGTTGGCGAGGGGGACGTCATCCATGTCGACATCGCTATGATATCCTGGAGCCTGAACGTGCTCGGGGGCATGCGCAGAACACGATGCAGGGCATGTATTTCACGTGTCAGAGCAACTTTAGGAAGCCAGAAGAATTGCGCGAGATAGCTCAGGACCGCGACGCACGAGGTCTGATATAGCCGTGCGAGAGCATCCGTCGGAGCACCAGACGTAGATAAAGCAAAGAGACGGTCCCACCACTTTGGGACCGCCTTCATCCATTGCAGTTCATTGGTCGCTCCAGGCCCAATATGCGCGCCAAGGTAGACACCAACATCATCAATCAAGAAGTTGCTCCAAGCTGGAATCTGTTCTGCCAAGAAAGAGCGAATCACAGACCGTATTCGATCGTCAAGAGCAGCCCAAAGGGGGATGATCACACATTTGGTGACATTGATGGCGAGGTGGCCGTACTTTTCTGCACAATCAAAGACCTGGTGGATCTTGGGGAGGAGTCGCAAATGGTTCAGGTGAACGCCTAGGTCGTCAGCGCATGCAGAGGCAGAGCCTTCTTCATCGGTCGGGAGAATCTCGGCAATCGCTCTGAGAATGACGTCCATGGCGATGGCCCAAATGGTACCCGAAAGAGGACAGCCCTGCGCGACACCAGAGCGCATGAAGCACACGAAGCGGTAGGCGCCGTCCAGCGTGATCATGGCCTGGCCACCGTCGTAGAGGGCATGTACGGCATTGATGAAGCCCTCGGCGTACTGAAAGTTAGCGAGCGCTGCAAACAACCATTGCCTTCCCAGCGACGGGAAGGCCGCAGCAATGTCGAACAGGATCTGGACTGGATACTCTGACCCAGCATCTGGCCTCCATCCAGCAATCCTCCCCAACGTGTCCATGATCATTATGTTATTGCAGAAGTTGCGGCCTCTGATGAAGCCTTGTTGAATAGTGTGCGCCCGTTGCTCCACGGAAGTTTTCATCTGCTCGTTGATGGCCGCCGCGAAGATCTTGGAATCAGTGTTCTTCCTGGAAATCGGCCGCAGGGCCGCCGCAAGCCGAGTGCAGGTAGCATTGTCCATCTCCTCCGTGCCCTTGGGAATGAACGAGAACAGTGAGTCATTGAAAGAGAAAGGTGCCACTCCAGTCTCCATCGCCTGCCACGCGATGTCATCTAGCGCGTCCAAGGCACCCGGCGTCGCCGTCCACGCTCGATACGGAAGTCGGTCCGGGCCTGGAGCTGATGCGCGAGCTCGCTGAGCGGCACGACGGAGCGCAGCAACCGAAGGGAGAACCAAGGCAGGTGGTTGGAGAGGAGGAGGCGCGTGCCGAGCAACAAACTCCTTCATACCAATCTCGTCGACGGGTTTGTCGGCAAAGATCGGGAGCCAGTGCTTCTGCAGCTCGCTCAGCATGCCCTGAGGAGATTTGACAACGGTGTCGGAATCAGGGATACGAATGCCAACCAATGTGAGAATACGTGCAAACGGGGCCCAAGCTCGAGCGCGACGTTGTAGAATGCGTGCTTGCTTCAGTTGGTGTTCAGCTTCAGGCGCTCGGTGGGCCATTGCAGCTCGACGGGCCAACGTCAGCGCACGTTCCTTCCTTTTGATTAAATGCTGATGATGGGCAAGGCGTGACATTTCTGCGAACTCCCCCTCCGAGCGCAGCGAGACACTGCCTTCCTCGATGCATGGGAACTGCCCACCAAGCGCGTTGAACGACATTAATGCCCCCGCAAGCTCGAAGTCCTGCCGCCATACCGCTCGGGAGATGGAACGCAGGGCCAGCAGCTTAATTTCATCAGATAACTGAAAACGGCGTCCTCCAGGTAATTCAAGGAGATGATTGCGTGTAAGTCGAGCAGCTTGGACCATGTTGTCCTTTGTGATCCTCCACATCATAGGGGGGCTTGCACACTCAGTACGAGAAAATGACATCAGGCGTTCAAAGAACTGCTGGTAGAGCGGGGTCTGGAACAGGAAGTCAGGGATCTGTTGAACATCATCAGCCTTGGGCCTGGCCGTCGCTAAGGTAAGTCCCAAGATCGCATGATCACTAAGTCGTCGGTCACTCAAAAGTGTCGGGTCAACCAGCACTGCCAACTTCATCGAAAGATTGGGAATAGCATGTGGAGGGAGCGACGTGAAGACTCTGTCAATTCGCGTTTGTCGAAGTGTATGTGGATCAAAACGCGTTGGCTCACCAGTCGTAACCTCCGTCAACAAACCAAAAAGGCGACGCCAGAATGTCTGCTGGAAAGAATCTCCTCGAACAGTAGGAAGTAGAATTGGAGCAGGCGTGACGAATGACACTGCTGGTTCATCGTGAATGTTGAAATCGCCCATGGCAATGAAGATCCGCGATCTCGGCGACGACGAGGCCCAAGCAGCATAGCGTCTCCATTTGAGGTCTATTACCTTGCGATGATGAATGGTGAGGTCAAAGTTGTGGATATTCATAACTACAGCAACACAAGAAGCGCCAGCAAAGACTTCCGCAACCTGGGCGCGCCCGACTGCGAGGACAGTGTGGACAACCGTGAGCTTCGTGCCAGGGGTGTGTCTTCGGTCCGCTGGAAGCGACGGTACCCACGTCGCATTCGACCTCTGCGGACGGTGAACACCTGCATCCCGTGGGAGGTCTTGAGGGCGACACTCGGGTGACGAAGAAGAGGTGGGCGAAGAAGAAGAACACGAGGAGGAAGACGATGTAGCATTGACCACATCCAGACTGGACGACGTTCGTGAAGGTGAAGAGCAGGACCCCGAGGAGCCAGAAGCCGTCGAAGACGAGGTCTCCGCTGCGAGATCTGCGATATCGATGGGTTGGCCGAGTGCATCAGCTTTCGGAATCAGCATGGCCACACCACCAGTGCTCGCAGCTCCGCCACCACTGTAGAGGATATGATATTTGAAGGGAAGGGCCCCAACTGCTCGGCGCAGGCGTGGACCAGACCCGTGAACTTCTTGGATCAAGATGAGGTAGTTCATGCGCATGTATTGTTTTAGCAGCTCGAATTTCTGCTTTCGCTTCTTGGAATTGATCGTGAGGAGGCCCCTGGCATTCCACGACATCATCTTGAACTGGGAGGGCGACGCGTAGGAGCCGGTGATGCTACCCCCAAGACACTCCTCTGTCTTCGGCGAAGAAGTCGTTGAAGGCATGCTCGATAGCGGCAGTGTCGATGTGAAGCTTCGTGGCCTGGGCATAATTCCAAATGATCTTGGTGTCGATGTTGGCCGCAACGCCCACGTCCAGACGCACAAGAGGCACGCCCACCGCAGAGATACGACCTTTCTGTTTGAAGGGGCGGAAATCGATGTCGGCCTTGGATTCTTTGAGGAGGAGGTGCAGGCGTCTTGTCTGGATCTCTCGTCTGATCTGTCGTGGGCTCCTATCAGTCGAAACATACAGGGGTATAGTTTGGCCCGCCACCGACATAGCTGAGAACTGGCGCCAGCTGCCGCCCGCGAGCCTGAGGGCACGAGCCAACGCCACCGCTCTCGGAGAAACCACTGCAGGGCCGCCAAGAAGACGAAGAACGAAACGACGGGCAGGGACATCACCTTGAAGCGTAGCCGTGGAGAAGTCGACTCCAGCGTCCCTGAACCAACCCACGAGGGCCTGCTGGACCAGCTGCGGGGCGACAATATCTGGTGCTCCAATGGAAAAAATCGCGGGGTCAGGAGGCCTGTCGAAGTCGGATTCGGCGATGACATCAGGGACCGCCGTCTGCGCTTCCGCAATCGCCAGCGCCTTCTGGATGGTGTCGATGGCTTCCTTGTGGCGTTTCTGCTCGGCTTCAGAGTCTTGAATCCTTCGCTTGAGCTGGGCCAACTCGCTCTCATTAGCGTCGATACGCTTTGCCACGGCAGCTTGCTCCGCGTGGATCGCCGTCGCCACCGTGATGGCCGTGGCACGTTTGAACTCGGCCATGGTGGAGTCCACATGCTCCGTGAGCTGTCTGTAGAGGGATTGGTGGATGGCCTCGACTGTACCTGGGGCGGGCTCCCCAGCAGGGCCAGCGCCAGCTGCTGCAGCGGAGGGAACACCTGCGTCACCAGGTGTGGCGGTACCAGTCGCTCCAGCTCGCCAGGGGTCGGCACAATGAAGGGGATCTTCAGCAGGTTGGGTGGGGAAGGCCTCCAGTTCTCTGGCAATCTGTGAGATCTGCGACTCGGTGAGGGCTGGGTACGGCGCCGTCGCACCGCCTGCTGTAGGAATCGGTCCACAAGCGGGCCCGCTTGGTCGCTGAGGATGCGGTCGACGGTCTGCAGCAGCTCGTTCTTCACGGTCTCCGCGTAATCCGTCTCGACGTCGGTCCCGCCCAGGTCGGCGCTCACGTGGCTCCTCAGGGCGAGGTCTGCTGTCGTAATCCCGAGGAGGCCGCCGCTCTCTCCGTGAGCCCCCACTGCGCGAGGTGCGCGACTTGTCGTAGTCAGAATCACTGCCCGACATGATGGCAACACCAGTGCCAGCAGCAAACTGAGGATATGGATGAGGAGCCCCTCCTGGCCGCGGCGGCCGCAGCTGGGAGCAGCGCACATGAAAGAGCAACGAGGACTGGATGGGAGCCTACCCCGCTTAGGCAGTGAAGAAGTAACCATTTGGCTCTTGAGCCAAAATGGCTACGGAGGAGGAGGAGGAGGAGGAGGAGGAGGAGGAGGAGGAGGAGGAGGAGGAGGAGGTGGAGGTGGAGGAGGAGGAGGAGGAGGAGGAGAAGGACCCCCTCCCCTCCTCCTCCAACTTATGGTGGTGGTGGTGGAAAACAAGCCCATGACCCAAGGTGGCCTCACGACGGCTCCAAGATGACTCTATGAGGGCCGGAGAAGGCCACACGAGAACTCCCAACGGGGTCCTCTGATGCCAAACTCTGTGTTTCCCTGAACGTTTCGAATGGTTTTCGCATTCTCGCCATTCCGGGCTTCCGTCAGCTCGAATGGGCCTCCAGAGAGATCCAAGACGGAAAAGCCATTCGACGGTTCAAGACGGCGTCAACACGGTCCCACCATGATGGCCCCAAGACACCCCCAATGCGGCCAAGACTCCCCACAGTTGCCCAAGACAGCCCCAAGACGGTCCTAATGAGCTTCATGAAAACTCCTGGTGAAATCAAAACGACAAGGTGTCACATGTGACAACTTGCCTCTTCCTCCTCCGCGTGGCCCGCGTGGCAAGAATGGTGCCCGTTCAGCGTGCGAATGTAGCCCAACACGCAAAATGCGCTCGTGTTCCCCACATGGTATGTGTTGACGAGGAACGCGCCCCAGGTCGGATCCGGCTTGGTGGCGCTTGGGGGACAACATTAAGCCTACTAGGGAATAACATTGAATGCCAGCAAAGCACCACAAACGCTGTTGCAATACAAACGTGTTAAACCCTAATGCTACACACCCGTTTATGAATAAGCGCAAGCACATTCACAAAACATGCGACTTGCAATGAGCTTGAAGGTACGGTAGGGATACGCAGCAAGCAATCAAAACAACAATTAAGGCAAGCTCTGCCTAAGGCAAACCCTAATCGAGGATAACATGCTGGAGAGGTCTAAGATTCTGTCATCTCGGCCCCCGCCGAAGATCCGAATTGTCAAGCAGGTGGGTGTATTGGCGTGTGAGGGGTATTCCACAAACCTTGAACGTGTTACCAGCCGAAATCGTTTTGCAAGGAAAAAACAGCCGCCTTGGAATCAACGACTACCTTAACGCCCTCCTGCGTGTCGACAACCTCATCGAACTTGTTAACCTTGTCGGTGTAATCCATGGTGTAAGACATGCCGTTGCACCCTCTGGTTCTCAAGCCGACGCGAATGCCGATGAGGGCCGGATCGTTTCGCTTCGACAGCAGGCTGTGCACTCGCTTGGCAGCGGCGGCTGTGACAGACATGATCTGCTTCGACGCCATGGCAGACGCTGCCTGGCACTACGAGGAGGAGCAGGGGGGCCTGCCCCGAGTGGTCCTGGACTGGGCCGATGCGGCTGGCCCCTTGGGCCGAGAACAGCGGAGGCACGTCGCTGCCGCCACGACGACCGAGCGGCAGTTCAGCGGCGGCAACCTTGCGCAGCCGGCAACGGTCATGCTGGCGGGGGGGCTAATCCTCCCGGCCGCTGCGGAGCCGTGACCAGGGTCCAAAGGCACCGCACGCACCTGTGGGCTCTGGTCGCCTGCCTGACGGGCCGATGGGACGGCGATCGACAAGGAACACGCACTGGTGGCGCTGCCCCCCCCATGGTCGGGGCTGCTGATCCTGATCCTGGCCTTGGGTCTGGTAGCCAGGGTGTATGGTCTGAGGTCCAGGGCCTTGGTTTAGGGTCGAGGGTTTACGGCCAAAGGTCACTCAGAGTGCATCGCATGGAACCGCGCCGCGGGCGTGGGCCAAGGCAACGTATCTGCTATGGGGTGCAAGGAAGAGCAGCTGCCACATGTCACGGCCTTCGGGAAAGTTCTAGAGGGGCCGCCGAACACGGTCCTTGGCTGGCACGGTGGCAGACCTCGCCGCATGCACACAATTTGTTCCCCCTCGCGGACTGTTGGCCCAACGCAGCGAGAGCAAAAGCAAGACGCGCTAAGAGAACGTGCGCCGGAGGAGGGTCAGACCAACGAGCGGGGGACGGATGCAAGGAACAAAGTGCCGAAGGCCATGCAGGCGGAAGAAACGACAGCATGCAGAGAAGGCCCAAAGGCGGAGGGCGTGTGAAAGCCCGAAAGCCGTCACATGCGACGGCGAAGACAGGTAAGAGAAAGCGCGGCTGCGGCGAGGGTGCTCGGCTGACAAGGGACCGAGGCGTGAGACAGAGGGCCAAGCTGGCAGGCGGCGCAGCTGCCGGCGGCGTCCGGGGCGGCCCCTCAAGCCCAAGAAGGTGTGCCTCGAACCCACGAAGGTGTGCCCGCGCCAAAGGTGGACGACCCAAGAGAGCAGCGGCAGCCGGAGGCAGAGGAGGGACTGACACCTGGGGGCCAGGGCGAACCTGGAGCCAGGGGGAGGGAGGAACAGAGAACGACAACGAACAACCCTAGAGACCTCTTAGATGGGGTCGGAGTAGATGGGGTCGGAGGATCGCGCCGCATCGGCGATGCATCGGCGATGCACCTTCGATGCATCGGTGACGTCGGCAATGTATCGGCGACGTCCGCGTGAAGAAAATCGGGCTCCGCATCGAGCCGCATCGGCGATGCATTGGCGGTGCGGCGCGATCCTCCGACCCCATCTACTCGCACACCAGACCCGACGACAGGAGAAGAGAAACGACACCGACTACACGCAAGAGTGATCCTGGATAAGAGTGACCTTTGGTGCGCAACTTCTTGGCGGCCGCGGGGAACCCAAACACGAGCGCGCAAGATGCTACTACCGCATCGCGTTCGGCGATCGGGGGACCCCATTGAGCCCGCATCAACGGTCACTCCGGCGAAAGGTCACCCCGGCGAAAGGTCACCCTTTCGTATAGTCCACGAAACGGGCGAAAGCCCGAGGGACGAGCAGAGGAGAGAGCATGGAGCAGAGGAGCGACGCACGAAGGCGGGAAGGAGGAGGAGGAGGAGGAGGAGGAGGAGGAGGAGGAGGAGGAGGAGGAGGAGGAGGAGGAGGAGGGAGGGAGGAGGGAGGAGGAGGAGGAGGAGGAGGAGGAGGAGGAGGAGGAGCAGGAGAAGGAGGACGAGGAGGGGGAGAAAGAGGAGGGAGGACGACACCGCCAAGCGGCACGCCGAGAACAGGGGCAGCCAAGGGAGGCCGCCCCGCCAGGAGGCAAGGGGGGCGGCGCCTACAGGAGCATCATTTATCCGATCCCTCCCCCTCCTCCTCCTCCTCCTCCTCTCCTCCCTCCCTCCTCCTCCTCCTCCCCCCCTCCTCCCTCCCCTCCCCCTCCCCCTCCTCCCCCTCCTCCTCCGCCTCCTCCTCCTCCTCCTCCTCCGCCTCCGCCTCCCTCCTCCTCCTCCCTCCTTCCCTCCCTCCCTCCCTCCTCCCTCCCTCCCTCCCTCCTCCCTCCCCCTCCTCCTCAGCCGCCGTCCCGGTTCGAGGCGTCGGGTGCGGACACAGTGTCCGCGCGCCTCCTCGGGACCGTCGGCTAGACGCGCCGCCCCGCGATCGGCCGCGGGCTGGCCGTGCCATGCGTGCCAGCGCACGCCACGGCGCCCAGACGACGCCGCAAGGACGAACCTGCCTGGCACAGGCGCGCCAGAGAGCGCAGGTCAGAAGCACGATCTCTTCTACGAGTCGCCGCAGCGCGACAGTTGCTCGCGGAGCACCACAGCATTATGCCGCCCCCATGGGCCAGATCACAGTCATCTTGGTACTGTTCGCGCTGTGGTGCAGAGCAGTTGGCTTCGTCCGCGTGGTGCCTGCAATGCTACCCCGTCAAGAAGGACCAGGACAAGTCATACAAAAAACGAAATGGGCGTTCTGTTTCCAGGGGGCCAGAACGTATGCGTGCAGATCGTCCAGAGCCAGAGGCAGCATCTGCTTCAGCTCCAGCAGCAGCTACGCAGTCTCTTCCAGCAGGAGTAGCCACGCTCAGAGAAGCTCAGTCGCACAGACTTTGGGTCGAACCGCCGACGAGTATCGCAGAATTGGAGACCCACAGAGCACACATCAAGGACGCCATCCAGGCGGTCGAGAAGCAAATCAAAGCACAGACAGCGATGGGCTCAGATCAAGCCATTCTTGCCGCCGCCAAACAAGAACATCGCATTCTTCAGTTCATGCATGTGTACGCGTACCCGCCGAAAGAGAGAGTCAGCAATCAGTTGAACTACATCACCAGGGCCACCAAGCGCCTCGAGGAGGCGCAGCAGTCGGAGAGAGATGCAGAGATTGCATCAGAGACGGCCCAGAAAGCAAGAGAAGCGATTGCTACAGATCTATCTCAGGCGCAGGAAGCGCTCGTTTCTTTCGAGATCCTAGCGAAGGAGGCCAAGGAGAAGGATGAGGCTGTCAAAGAAAGAGAGAAAGCAGTGGCATTTTCTTTCGAAGCAGTCGACGGCACAGCCACTCCTCCTTTCTCGACGCCACATGTCCAGAGCCCCTTCGAATCGCAGCAACAGCAGAGTATGCAGCCACAGTTGCTAGCCCAACTACAAGCCAATCAGGTGCAGTTGCAGCAAGGATTGATGGCCCTAGCTGCAAGCATGTCCACCATTCAGTCAGCGTTGCAGATTCCATCTACATCAGTTTGGCCAACGCCAGCGCAGGGTGCCGCTCAGTCACCAGCACCATGGCCAGCACCGCCGAGTGCAGCCCAAGCAGCAGCAGCAGCCGCAGCAGCAGCTCCAGTGGCAGCAGCAGCAGCACAGCAGGAGACGGGCAAGCTACAGCACATCGGCAAGGGAGGCCGACGGACCACGCCTACGGCAGGGGCCCGAAGGCTCGAGGCAGCCGCCGCCGCAGCTCCAGGCCAGCAGAAGCTCCTTGCCAGAGGCACTGCGAGCATCGCAGGAGGAGCTGCCATGCCAGCGGACAAGGCACTGTGCTTGCCGGCAGCCGCGGAGGGCACGCAGACAGACAGCGACCTCACCGAGACAGCCATGGATGACGACGACGACCCGCAGCGGCCCGTCGAGAAAGGGCAGAGTTTCTAGGACCCCGACGCGTCGTACAGCAAGGGGGGAGCTCAGGCAATGCTCGGGACGAAACTCTCTCCACCAGTCAGGTGAACATCCGCGACGTATCGGGGGTAAAAGACTACCAGATCAGAGGATGCCACTTCAGCCCTCTTCCCGACACCACACACATTAGCTCCATTCTATTCCAGTCTTGGAGCAGGCCTATCAATACAATGTTTTGGAGTCTCGCAAAGTACTGGCACTCAGCCACTATGCAGCACATGCCATGGTTGTTCGCGATCGACGACCTCGACGAAGTCAGCAGCATACATATATACACGGACGGCTCTGGGGGCAACAAAGATGGGGGACCTGCTTGGGCCTTTGTTGTTCTCGCTGGGGACTCCCACGGTCGTCAGGCTCTCTTGGGTTTCGAAGGAGGGGCTCTTGAAGGTGAACATCCTGCTCACCTCCACGCTTTAGCCGCGGAGCTGCAAGGTGCCCAGTGGGCGCTCGCTTGGTTCCTGCAGTCCCCCTACGCCAGCCTCACTCACGAGGTGGACCTCACGCTCTTCTGTGACTGCTCCGAGGTTCTTAGAGTTGCCCAAGGAGGAGCCCTCAGCCCGTCAGTCAGACGTCTTCGGTCAGAACTAGACAGTCTAGCTAAGGTTGTGCAGTATTTTTCCAGGTCTACCTCTTGGGCTCACGTCGCAGGGCACAGTGGGAACCCATGGAACGAGGCTGCAGATACTATATGTACCTTGGTATCTATGAATAAAGGGACATACCTACTCCTGACGGCAGGTGGGTGGTATGTCTAGACGACGACATCCAGTTGAGCTGGCTGTGGCTTCGCTTCGAGTCCCGCCAGGTCCAAGCGCAGTATCCTTCCCCTGGTGCTGAGTTGCCGCATTCTCAAGAATCTGCGCAAGAGAAGGCGTCGGCCTTGTTTAGGTTATTACGTTTCGCAGCCAAGACGCGAGGACAACGAGTGAAGTTGCCCCGTCACAGTCTATGTCAATATCAGTGGCAGCCGCCAATGTCATGTCGTTGAACCCCCACAAAGACCGCATCGCTAAGAAGTTCAAACCGGTTGGGAGACAAGGTTTCTTCTTGGTGGGTACTGTGGAGACTAGATTTCCTCGTACTGGGGCCTCTCGAATTGCCCCTTATCACGTTGTTCATGCTCAGTGTGACGATCAAGGCAAATTCGGCTGCTCTCTTTGGGTGCACACCGGCATTGAGGTCATACCAGGAGTCCGTTGCCAGCCCAAGCATGTTCGTGTTCTCGCTGCACAGCCCAGATATTTGTACGCGGCGGTGCGAGCGGAACATTTTGCAGTTGACGTTCTAGTGGCCCACGCACCGCACAGCAAAGCGCAGCCTGAATGTTTAAAGCAGTGGTGGCAGGAATTGTCTCGCCTATTACGTGCACATCGTACTCCAGGAGTTGGAT